AATGTGTTCGCTACAACAAAAAGCTAGCTAATGTAGTCACAAATAATTTTTCCACACTGCCTTTTCAGAAAAGCAAAACATTCAGATGAAACACTCCAAACAGGTTGTATGGTGTATCATCGAACAACTTAAATGACATCAGTAGTATTTGTTAAAGGCCTGAAATGTTTAAATCGTCAAATTATATCACAAAAAAGAAAACTTTATGAATGTTTGTCAACCGCCCTGTATTCTTTAATGTATGAATTGTTCACGATATGAAATATATCATTTGTCATTTTAGGTCTATTCACAACGTAAGTATGGTGAGAAGTACCTGTGATAATATAAAGTTCACAAAAAATACGTCACGTTTTTCTTTTTGTCTGATACGTATGTTCTACTTAATTTATCGCACCTTGAAGAACATGCAATGATCCTTTAAAGCATGTATGAATGTAATACTAACTAGACTAGTGAAAAAATATAAGCAAACATTTTAAGACTCAGATTCAAGAATAACATGTTTTGCTGTAAAAGTGCAGCAATGTCTATCTTTACATTTCTAATAAGAATGTATTCATAGAAAAGATGACTTATAGTGTCTTTGGTTTCATCACAAACAGGTTGGTATAGGGGGAGGGTTGAGATCTCATAAACATGTTTAACCCCGCCGCATTTTTGCGCCTGTCCCAAGTCAGGAGCCTCTAGCCTTTGTCAGTCTTGTATTATTTTTAATTTTAGTTTCTTGTGTACAATTTGGAGTTTAGTATGGCGTTCATTATCACTGAACTAGTATATATATTTGTTTAGGGGCCAGCTGAAGGACGCCTCCGGGTGCGGGAATTTCTCGCTGCATTGAAGACCTGTTGGTGACCTTCTGCTGTTGTCTGTTCTATGGTCGGGTTGTTGTCTCTTTGACACATTCCCCATTTCCATTCTCAATTTTATTCCTCATTTGTACAGAGCAACAATTTTACGATAATTTTCCTTCTTGTTTTTATGACATTCTGAATACCTTAAATTTTGTAAAAATAAAAGACTTGACAAGATTTTTATTTACTTTGATACACTCAAAAGATTTAATTTTATTAATAGAAAAACTTGTGATAAAGGGAAATAACCAAATTTTAATAAATAGCATACTAAACTACAGAACCTTAGAATGCTATAGTAAAATCGTTGTAACTAAAAAACCGAACTCCAAAGTAAATTTTAAAGGGCGGAAGTCTATCTGGATCATGTTTTTAATTGTTGTTTGTCTCTTGAAGATTGAAAAGAAGCTAGCACAATCCTTAAACTCACGTTCCGCTATATGGATGATGTCCTCTCTACAAATGATTCAAATTGTGGCGACTATGTTGAACACATCTATCCCATCAGACTTGAAATAAAGTATAAAACAGATACAGTTCAGTCTGCCTCATATCTTGACTTACATCTGGAAATTAACAATGAGGACAGTTGAGAACAAAACTTTTTGACAAAAGAGATGATGTCAGCTTCCCAATTGTGAACTTTCTATGTAGAAACATTCCAGAAGCGCCTGCATATGGAGTATATATCTCCCAGTTGATACGATATTTCATGGCTTGCATTTCCTATCATGATTTCCTTGAAAGAGAACTGCTGCACACAATGACGAAATTTAACCAAGGGTTCCAAGCGGTGAAGTAGAAATCATCCCATCTGTTCCAATTGTCGTAGCCACAATCCCGTTCTCTTTTCTTAGAATGTGACCCTATTATTTAGACTTATCACCGGATTTGTACGTACATGAGCAACACGACGGGCGCCACATGTGGAGCAAGATCTGCTTACCCTTCCGGAGCACCTGAGATCACACCGATTTTTGGTGGGGTTCGTGTTGCTCAGTCTATAGTTTTCTATGTTGTGTTTTGTATACTGTTGTTTGTCTTGTGGTCCTTTTCTTTTTCTTTTTTTCTATGGGGTTGTCAGTTTATTTTCGACTTACGAGTTATAATGTTCATTTTGGTATTTTTCGCCTCTGTTTTAATGCACGTTTGTTTATTTGGGGGGAGCGGGGGTAGAAGGTCGGAAACTGGCGATTAGTGCAATCTGTTGTTCTTTCAAATCATTCGGGGTTAACTGTTATCTTTTTTATTCGTTTATTAGAAGTGTGTATAAAATTCAGTATGAACAATAACTGTTGGATTTATGTTATTACGTTTAAGTTAGAACCTTGGATTGATTGATTTAATGATTGATGTTAACCGCCACTTTCATCACTATTGTGCTATTTCGTGGCGGCCTATTTTTATTAAATGTAGGAAACCGGAATCCCAGTGTTTACAAGCTAGTGGTACAGTAATTTGACTCTTTAGACAACTCGACCACCAATGCCCTTCAGAACCTTGGAATGTTCATAATACAAATAGCTATGTTATAGAAGTATACTCTTCTTTATTTATTCCTCTTTGGAACATGACAAACAGTTTTTTGTATTGAGGGTTTTTACTTTAAGGTGTATTTTGTATATTTATTAAGTTGTTCATTACAAGATGGTTGTAAGTAATTTTGTATGTTTCTTTTATGTTCCAGTGTATCGGTAGTTTCCTACTTTGGTACACCAAATTAGTATAGGATCACCGATTAGTCATTAGTTTGCAGTAATATGTTAAATCATGTTCCTATGACGGGCGTCTTGGGTTTGATTTTTGGTACTAAAAGTTAAAAAAATAATAAAGGACCCTCTACAATATCCCGATTTAGTATACAAAGAAATTGCTCATAGGATCATTGAACTTTCAGCCAATAATTATAAATTTTGGCCATAGCGATGATTAAAATGAGAATAGGTTCCTGGCGAAGGTGCAGATAAAGGGATGACATTACCTCATTTGACCATTTGGGTCAACGTTCAAAAGCTGTTTAGGTCAGGTGAGCTCATAAGTATATGACGTATACTTTTGTGTTTAAATTGAATTCTATCATTGAAAAACTTTTCTGTCCAGACCCAAAAGGCGTTGTTTGCATGATATCATGGGACATGCTTCCAATTTAATCTTAATTGTAGTAAAATGGTTAATCAAAAGTGCGTGTATTTTATTATTTAGTGTGGATTTGCATTGCGATTGATGAATGTATGGCATGAGACGCTTATCATGTCGACGTAACTGGTCTCGCTCCCTTTCGAGTTACTGCAGTTATCTCTGTTTTCGTTTATTAACTAGTATACCATAAAAATGACGTCGTAGTCAAATGAACCCTAACAGACGCACATGTGACCCTTAAAATTGTTATACATATCTAATGTAGTTGATCAATTGATTATAGTATCTGAAAAATGCACCTTTTAACGAAATATAAAGATAATCATTGGTCTTTGAAATGAGGTCAGCTGAACCCTGTCTGACATACATATATACCTTGCAATGTATATATCAAATGAAGTGGGCATATTTTTCATCAATACTAATATAAACTTGAGAAAAACACTATACCATCTTAATGAGGTCAATGACAACGGACACATGCCAACTTCAGGCATGATAGACATCTGTATGGATGCAAGATATGAAGTATCAATGTCTTTTACCTTTTGAAATATGAAGCTTTTACAAAGATGTTACCACACCGGATAAGCTTCCCTATATCTCGCATGTTGAGACATTAGTCACAGGCGCAATAAAAATGACAAGAGACAAACAACAAAACATTACAAAGAAACTTAAGATTGAGAACACAGGACCCTAAGAAACCGGCTATGAATTTAGATGATCAGGAAAGGTCAACATTTCCTTTTTTAGTAGTAGTCGTGTTACTCCTGTTTAATGAAAAAATCACTTTGTAAATTTCTTGCGTCCAAAGTGTTTTTCTAGATTAGTCTTCATCAGGAAAGCTTTATTAGTCTTTATCAGGAAAGCTTTATTAGTCTTTATCAGGAAAGCTTTATTAGTCTTTATCAGGAAAACTTAAACCTAAGAAATGTAGAAATGTAAGGTTACCAAAAGTGACGAAAAAGAATCGCAAAATTTGTCAAAGTTCGAATTTGCTTGAGGAAGTTGGAACCTTAGTTTCATAATAATTTCTTATTTTATAAACGGGGCATTTGAAAATACTTGTTCTAAATCGTGACTGCCGAAGCACCGACTATAAAGCTGATGATACCCTAAAGGACTTACAGTGCAGTAGCAGCAGTATCAACCCAATGTTAAAATACATTTATGAGACATATTCGTTGATTAGGCAGCACAAAATAGCAGATTAGTAAATAATTTGAGTTTAACCATACGAATCACTAAATGTATTAACATACGGTCATGGAAAATCGTAACTTTAAATTTTTAATCTTTATCTCATTCAGTGAAAGGACATCATGTATATAGCGGAACGTAAAATAGAAGCGACATATACCAAAGGGAAATTCAAACTCAAGTCGAAAACAAACTGACAATGCCATGAAAAAAACAAAAAACGACCAAAAGAAAACAACAATACACAAAACACATCATAGAATACTAAAGACTGTTCAACGCGAACCTCATCAAAAACCGGAGGTGGTCTCATGTTCTCCGGAAGGGTTGGCAGATCCTGCTCCACATGTAAAGCCAAAGGTTAATGACAGCTCCTTTCCACTTTTCTTGAGAAGGCCTTGTTTTAATTCTACATTATAAGAATAAAGGTGGAAATCGGCAAACAAATACATGGTCCTAAAAGAATTCCGTGCATATGTTATTGCCCCGGAGGTCGTGAAATTTCGTCATACATTTTGTTCATAGGCGTGATGCCTGGACACCTTCGTATCATAAATTGTCAAATGTCTTGGAAAACAATTAAGGACAAAGCAAAAACGATGTCGAATAGCATTGACGATTAAAGACAGGAATATCGAATTAGCATGATACGACGAAGGCAATGTATGCCTTGGAGTAGAAAACCCTTAGTGTTTCGATAAATTTGACACTTTATACACAGTAAATTTACCGTACTTGATATAAGTGACTCAAGGACTACCATGGCTAACATATTGTCTTTTCTATGTTTGAAAAGATTTCTGGATGAATTGTTATCAGGAACATATCTTTAACGAACATGCCTTCCACTAACCCTCACCTTTTTTCATTTATCTACTATCGTGACCACATGTTGTGCAACATTGCAACAAAATCAGAAGACAATATTGAGATATGTTAGAAATATTATTGAATAAAATCAAAGCTGTTAGGATGGATTTCAATTAGACAATTTTTGAACAACTACTAGTATATATATCATTAGTAAATTAATATAAATAGTAGAAACAATAATGTATATATTTATTCAGATTCATGAATATCGAAATATGTATAAAGTATTAACACAAAAATGTGCAAGTAAAATTCACTGAAAATATGAAATGAAATATTAGTTTCTAAGATGGGAACTAGCTTGCTTTTAATGTGAGAGCACCAAAGAGATAATAAAATTCTATGCTCCAGGATGGCCCCTTTTTGTTTAAAGAGGTGAGCAATGAAGTGGTTTCAGATCTTCAATTTTTATTCCTTTGTTTGATTTTCTCTCAGTGGTAAGTCGAAGTTGTATTTTTTATCTTTGATAGTGTATTGTATTATAACTGGTACAGAAAAACTTGTACCGTATGGTATTATCGGTCAGCGTAAACGCAGGTATTTCGGACAGTTTGCATAAATATACCAGATCAAATTGTTCTCGACATCATCAATAGTGATGTGTATGTTGAGGCTATGGTGATAAAAGCGTTGACTTCACATAGCCAAGATTTCAGTTAAATTAGCTGACTGCTGCATTAAGTAAAAGGAAATCGAGGAGCTTCATCGAATCAAAGTAGGATGTTATACACCATCCATCGAAATGTAAGCCTACGGGTTTATGTCATCGATTTTTGTGTATCACATCTATCAGTTGTAGATGCAGATCTTTCAAGAAGGGGAAGGTAGAGGGTCAATGGAAAGTACGGGGTTCAATTTGTGTATATTTTACCTCTTATTGAACATTTGATTTAAGACTACAAAGAGTAAAGAATAATTATTTGAACATCATCATGATCATATACACAATCAGAGATACCAGTAGTGAACTGATGCCACCAAACCGGTCAGATCCATTAGTATTATCATTTTGAAGATTTTGAAGGTACAAATCGGCAGCCATTTCACCTTTACATGAATCAACTGCTACAATGAATCCTTGCATTTCCTTATTGTCCCACTGAATAGCCATTTGTTTGATCAATTCGTATACGTCACCTGTCATGCATGGATGCTCTGCAAATAGGACCTGAAGTGTCGCTTTGCATTCAGATAAACAATTACCGAACGGTTTACAATTTGTCATTACTTCATCCTTTACGCGCTTTGTTTCATTTACATTGACAGATATAAAATCAGACCATTTGCAATCGTTATATTCTCGTGTAATCCACTGATCACATATTGAGATATCTTTCCATGCTGTGCACGTAGAGAATGGCATGTTATCAGCAGGGTAAAAAGCCATGAATCCGAAACACATCTCGTCACTTGTAGCATCACCAAAAAACGTGGTCTTTGGTCTAGAAAGGGATTTGAACTTGCATGTCGTTACAATTTCGTCTCCTGGTAGCACTTGAACTGCAGTTGAGTACCTAAAATTTACATTTTAAAATCAGTTGACATACATTTTGTTACAAGAATCACAGTTGCCAAATCAACAAAAACATGAATAAGCACTACTGCGCTTTGATTTTTAAATGTTAAGTATAAATACTTTAATGTTCAAATACCGACCAAGAAGTGTAACGACTGATATTGCATAAAAAGTTCAATTCCATGAATGTGGCGTACAAAATTATAAGCTTGGTATCTTTGGTGAGTTCTTTTTTCATGATTACTACAAACATGAAAAAGGGAGATGTGGGAAATACGTCCTTGAGACAACAACTCATCTACACAAATATCCAAAAGACGAATAGAGAGTGTTATACAGTCATTAGATAGATATCAACAAAATATGCCAAGCTGTAAATCGAGTCCATTCGAGTTATACCATTTGTCAAGAATACACTATCAAAAATCCACATTTCTTAGGTTGTAGCGAATATGATGCCCTATACTTTTCTATTGTTATCCAAACTCTAATATATTTGGTCAAATACTAAAACAACGCCCATGCAAAAAATAAGAACATGGAGGAAAGTTTATTTTACGATAACATTGACCACTTATAATTGTAACTTGATGAAGATGAATTTCATGTTAATTGTGACGTGAATACTTCACAAATTACTGCTTCGTCCAATCCTATTTGATACAAAACCTGTTCTATAACTTCTTTGTAAATAGATGGGTCAATTTTGCACACTTAACATGTTTTGGTAAAAGTTAAAATCGGGGAGATCTTTAATCAAAACATTTAAATGTGTGCTTGTTAAACTATACCGGTATATCACTTTACTTCAATTTGAATTTTGGTTTTGTTAAAGAATGTTATTCGTATACATTGTTTTACATATACTGTTGCAGTCTTCATCTTTCTATTTGGCCACATTTAGTTCGCTCATATTGTTACAAATACGCCATAATATTGTAAGAACCTCAATATACACACACGACGCTGTGAAACTGTGCAGTTAGGTTAAGATTGATAGACTGTTTGAATACAGTCTTCTAAATAATAAATCAAGGGAAATTTGTCTATTAGACCTAATTGGCATTTCATCAACAAGAATGTAAGCGTTTAATCACTAGTAAGTCAAACTATCAGAAACGAGATATCATATGTACAGATTTTTTTTCATTCCATACGCTGAAAAATTCATAGTATCGGCAAGCAGAAAGCAGGTATCTAATAGATAAAAAATCAACATACGTTGAAACTCATCTTTATCAAGCTGTTGGCCAAATATTAAGGCATTCTGTTAAGTAAACTGAATAAATGCAAGACGAAAATTTTAAGCTCATTTAATTTATTAAAATCTTTATAGTGTCTGCAAACAACAAGAGGGTTTCAGCCAGATCCTAAAAGTGCTCGCACAGTACAACTCATCAATGTCAAGCTGCTGACCAAATATAGAGTAGTTCTGTTCTTTGGTTTTTGTGATACGTGTGACAAAATATTTGTTGGGCGAACAGACGGACGGACGTATAGTCGGACAAGACTATTGCATTATAGTTCTTACTTTACGAGTCGGGTATAATTGCTTGCAAATAAATTGTGAGAGTTTGTATTATCTATATATATAGATAAAAAAAGTAAAAAAGCAAGATAAATAACGTATCTCACAACTATTTTTTTTTACATTTAAATAGCTCAATGAATCTTGATTTGTACACTCACTTGTTCTCTACAGGACTGTCATAGTTATAAATGGCATCATTTGTAAGTTCTGTATAAAACACACCATCTCTGTATACCTGAATACTCATTTCATGTCCTGAAATTTTTTTGACAACAAAATTATATTTATTCATGAAATCTAGCTTCAAAACTCTCTCTCTCTCTCTCAGTAAATTTACAGAACAGATGACGTTTCTGGTATTAAAGATTTAAAACATGTCGCTTTTGAGTTGAGACATAAAAAGATCGTATCGGTCAACCAACTCGAGATCTTAAAATATTTTTATAAACAGAACAAACTAATTGTAAACCACTTAATTATAATAAAATGTATACATCGCAAGTTCGATTACTGCCTTTTGAATCCAAATGAAAAGCAACCGTACAATTTAAATGCACATGGAATAATATTAATGAGTTTAAATGAGAAAGGTAAAATAACAAAAATACCGAACTCCAAGGAAGATTAAAATAGAAACTACTTATGTTTCATCTCGGTTGTTAAATGCTCAGTGTTAACCAGTTGTCAGCTATATTATGTATGTAACGTATACGACTATACGTGATCAACTGATACAGCAGTGTGCAAAAGCTAAGACCTAATGACAGTTAGAACAGACTGTAATTTTAAACGGAATATGTGGGTTAATGGTTGTTATAAATAACTAAATGAATTGTTTCATGAATTTGTTTTGGTTAAAAAGGTTGTAATCAATATAAGTTTGTTTTAAAATTTTCCATTAAATGAAAATCACTAGGACTCTAGGGCTAACGTGATGATGAATTATAGGAGGGATAAATATTAGAATGTGTTTGTTTAATAGACCACTTTTGAGTTATGTTCTTCACCGGAAACGTTTGTCAATCATGCACGCCTCTATAACGTCATTTACTAGATAGAGGGGATCGCCTATATCCATTCACTATTACAAGCGTCTTCGTGGTCGTCATTGTACATGATAAACTAGAAATAATGTTTGTTCCGTAGGTACTTAATCACAATTCCCTAATGACAGCTTTGCCGATTATCAATTATAAGAATTTATGTTGGCGAATGATTTGTGCAATATAGCATCCTATTTTTTTCAACTACTCGCTCAACATGAAAAGGAAATTACGATGCCCGTAACGCACGAATGATGTTCACTGAAACCAAAGTTTTTGACGGAAATGCAACGAACTCGAAAGTGATCTATTAGTTTTATGACAACGGCCGTTAGTTTTAATTAAAGGAATTAAAACAGCCTTGGTCTGTATTAACTACATTAATCCTTTATGTTATAAAATTGCAAATTCGCATAGTATTGACATCTATTTTTAATACAGGCTTTTAAAATAAGAAATAATTATTACCTAAATAGTGCATATGGTTTATAGCCCAAAATATGTTAATTGGTGCTTGTATTAATTTCCTTGAACATTCTGAATGGCATTTCCCAACTACTGTGTAACTCTGCTGTCCAGGTGGAATTTCAAGATATAGCTGACCAGTTTGCATAATGGCAGCATCATTTGCTCGAAGCTTCGGAGTATAATAAAGAGTAACTCCCGATGAATCTTTCCAATCCGCTACTAACTGTGGATTGTTCCAGTGAAACTATGAAATGATAAAATTATCATTTAAAACCAATAAATCTGTTTGATCAAAAACATTTTCTCTCTTTCTCTTCAACAGCAGTTATCAATATTTTTTTAACAAAAATTAATTATAATTTCTAATATTTAATTTTTTCAGGTATCCACTTTATTTGACTGCCAAAAACTAAATCCTTTTATCAGTAAAATACGAGGAGAATATTGTAATTGAACATTTTTCTTCAAATGCTCGTTTTTTATCATGACGGAGCATTTGTTCAAGTTTCATTATATTTCGTGGAGATTTGACAAAGTAAATGACCAACTTTATTTAAGCTGAATAATTTAAAAAAAAATGATATGATAAACTGACACACAACGATCACTGTACTGACGAAATATAACTTCGATTGCATTGTGACATCAACATGTTATGATTGTTATAATTAGGTTAAACGTGTCATTTAACAAAAAGTTAATGATAGTGTTAAACGAAATTACTCAAAAATACATTTGACTCACACCGACATCTTAGTGGCAAAAATTTGTTAGGGCGACGGTGTTGATCATATCATCACATCGATGTGAAGTCAAATGTCTTTTAAGATAGTGTTTATATTAAATTTCAAATGAGATGAATTGTGTATTTTTTTCCCTTTATATTTCAAACGTTTGAAGGCCTAATGCCAACATGTTAGCTTCAGAAGAAAGTTATGAGACATCTTTATAAAACTTCGTGATCTACAAAATCAGAGGAACTACGAGTTGGTGTATATAATTTCGTCTCATTTTGTGAAATCCTATTTTAAAGATTTTTCTACTTTCGAACCTCTAATGCGGCCTGTTTGAATCCACTTTGACCAAAACGGAATCCCATTGGTCCATCTATGCAATATCCAGAAAATCCAACCGCCCATAATCCGATGAGTTTACTACAGCTACCACCTGCTCCCATGCCACACTTGGTAACTGTATTGAGCTGTTCGTCTGGCACTGGGTCCTCTGTATAAGTACAAACATTTACTTATCTAATTTCTTCTCAGATTCAAATGAAAAGTTATTTTTTCTCAACAGTAATCAATACTCGTATCTCAAGCTTTATTGCCAAGGTACTGATATAATCATGAATACTATTACTTAGAAGAGAGGCGAAAGATACCAAAGGGACATCACACTCATAAGTCGAAAATAAACTGACAACGTCATGGCTAAAAATGAAAAAGACCAACAGACAAACAACAACATAGAAAAATTAGGACTGAGCAACACGAACCTCACCAAAAAACTGGGGGTGTTCTCAGGTGCTCCGGAAGTGTAAGCAGAGCTCCCATGTGGCACCCATCTTAATGATGTCAAAATAAGGAGTCCATTACATTATCATACTTATACAACATTTCTTTTATCAGATGTCAATGGTTCAGTTATTATGTATAATAACTGGGAAATTGCTCCAATCGAGAAACCAAGAACTTAACGCAATTTTTTTTAAACACTGTCAACTTTAAAAATGAGGTTAAACATTCAATCAGCATGTCAAGCTGACATAGTTACAATGTCCTATAGGGCACTACTGAAATACCAAAAGCGATAAATAACGAATTATAGTCAAATCCACATTACGTCAACTTTGCCTGAGTGAGTTGAAACAATGGTTCTCTAGTAATTTCTGAATTTATCAACGGATAATCTAAGAATGGTTGTTATAAGTCATGTCATATGAAAAATATGGATGGTATTATTTGTCTTCGATGTTGCGTTTGCATCAAGTTATACATTCTTGTTGGAATAACAGACATATGTTTAAACTTCAGCAACACCTTGAAGGGAAGGCACAAACGAAATTATTTGTGAACCATAACAGCTTTGCACATTTTTTCATGTATATACATTTAAAAACAAATATATATGTTTATTTAAAAAAAAGTCTTTATAAGGCCTTTTTGATGTACTTCTAATATTCTACTTGTGTAAAGTATTTGTTTGTTTGTATGTAATGAGTTTTATTTGGACTATTTGGCCACTTTTTATACATCCTGGACAATTAAATAGTTCGGCATTGAGCATGTGTAATGACAGTAAATCCAGACAAACGCTTCGATTTTGCGTGCTGACGTTGTTTATCATCTTAATAACGTGTTATAGTATTCTTTTATTTGTCTGTATTATATTACTTTTACTGTTAAGTCTGTTTTTTTAGATATCTATTTGACGTGACTCTGTGCTTATGTATCCCGTCATACTTTGAACGACAAAATTATTTTATTTATTAATATTACTTTTACTGTTAAGTCTGTTTTTTGTGATATACCTTTGACGAGACTCTGTACTTATGTCTCCCGTCATACTTAGAACCACACAATTATTATATTTATTAATATTTCTTTTACTGTTAAGTCTGTTTTTGTGATATCCATTTTACGTGACTCTGTATTTATGTATCCTGTCATACTTTGAACGACAAAATTATTTTATGTCTACCTGTGCGAATTTTAAACGCGCGATGTTACGCCAGTACTTAAAACCTTCCATCCTTTATGGGTGGATTATACATAGATAAATAAAATCGTATAATATAAGCAAAATGAGGATGTTAAATTTGATGTATGCCTTTTTGTGCTTCTTCGTTACATTTGTTTTTTTTTTATAGTGATTAAGATGATACCACAATGTTGACTGCTGTACCCCTATTTTTGACATTTTTACCTATTGTGTCTTTTTGTTTTGTTCACGCATCGTTGTCAATATAATGGATTTTGATGCGACTGTCATACAAGTGAGAGGTTTAGCTACCTATAAAACCAGGTTCAATCCACCATTTTCTACATAAGAAAATACCTGTACCAAGTCAGGAATAATGCAGTTGTTATCCATTCGTTTGATGTGTTTGAGCTTTTGATTTTGCCATTTGATTATGACTTATATCTAGACATTGACTATGAGGGTCGGTTGAAAACAAAACTTTACAACACAAGAGATGATTTCAGCTTCCCAATTGTGAATTTTCATTTATTAAACAAAGAGCTCCAAATGGTGAAGTTGAAATCATCACTTTGTACGTTTTACGGACGCCATCTCGAGTTGGTTGACCGTTATGGAATATCCGTTTCACAGATGATATCGGATATGTTCCTTATGTCGTAACTACAATTCCGTTCCCTTTTCACGAATGTGACCTACCGAATTAGACTATTTACACCTATTTGTGACAGTTTTACCTATTGTTTTTGTTTGTTTTGTTCACGCATCGTTGTCAATATAATGGAATTTGATGCGACTGTCATACAAGTGAGAGGTTTAACTAGCTTTAAAACCAGGTTCAATCCACCAGTTTCTACTTAAGAAAATGCCTGTACCAAGTCAGGAATATGACAGTTGTTATCAATTCGTTTGATGTGTTTGAACTTTTTATTTTGCCATTTGATTGGGGACTTTCCTTTTTGAATTTTCCTCGGAGTTTAGTATTTTTGTGATTTTACTTTTTTCGAAGGCATGAAATTTGTGTTGTTATCATATTGTACCTACCATTCGGATCACATCCGTAAATTAATATATGATGCATGACCATCTCATTATCTATGTAAGGTTCATATGCCATCAGATGATAATCTTGGTCAGAGGGAAGATTGAAGATCATACAGGAATACGTTGTTTCTTCAGCTGGCACTGCCGTCTCAGGAAAGCGAATGGTTGTATTTAATGTCTCTGAAAACAAAAAGGTACGATGAAAATGACTGGGTAAAAGAAATTAGACAAAATGTATGGATAAAAACAGAATATTTAACATACTCTTGCTATCAAAGTTGCTTTAACCTCATAAAATTAGTTCATTAAAAAAATATTCTTATATTTGCTTTTTGCTTTTTTGGTTTTACCTGGTTCTTTCAAAACATTACAGTTTTTCAGTCCATCTTCCACTTGACAATCTATCCATCCTTTGTCCGCATCACAAATGGACCCATCTGATAACGTACACACTCCTGAAAATTATCACATTATTTAAATAAGATCTTGTTTAATGGTTGGGTGTATGATATGTGCTCAATGATGCCGATAACATCAGTACAAAACACAAACAACATAAAGACAAACAAAAACCAAAAAAACGAGAAGACAATCAGAAGTCAGATAAACACTTTACAGAAAATTATTAAACATCACAAGAACCCTGCTATCTAAAACCCGCTGCTGAATTAAGTTTCTTTATGGGTTACTCCCGCAGCCGTTACTACTTCAAAGATGCACAAGTGTTACGAACTAATGGATACGCACACACGGGACGCAAATATCTGATTTCTGACATGAACCAGAGAATATGTGGCTGTGTTTCAGTTAAAACTCTTTTCACAAATTCGCTACAATGGGTTTTACTTTTAGGACAAGAAAAGAAGCAGACATTTATGAAGAAAAGTCTAGCGAACAATTTATTTTCGACATTTAAAACAAACACAATTTGGAAATGAAGCTTAATAAATACAAATGTCCATTAAAACCGAGAATGTCACAAGATCTTTTGATCAAAAGATGTCTCACTCCACTTTTTAATCTTACCTGGGTGTGTTATATCTGCTAAACGTGATGGTAAAGTTCCTTGTTTCCAGACACAATCAGGATCTCCAAGTTCTTCACCATTTGTTCTTCCGTCTCCGTCAGAATCTTCTCTACACAATTCAGATGTCCATGACTAAATGCAAATTAATTTCGATGAGATTCTATGTATAGTAATCCGTCAGAGCCAACAATGTTCTACATGTGATTAATCATATTAAAATTCTTATTGGTAAATGTGTCTCGCCGCTAGTCGATATCTTTAAAGATGAAATTAGATATGACATATTTGATTTTTAAATTCGAGTTTTTTATTATGAACATATTATAAGTTATATGCTAAAAACTACTTTTATCATGAACAAACAGACGAAGATAAAATAAGAAACAATCAAAAGTAAAACAAAAAACATTGGTAAATTGTTGTTTGCTTTATTTTCAATGACTAGTATTTCTTACCTTAAACAATAAATGGGGATGCTGTATGGTTGTCAATAAGACAACAATATACAAAGATCAAAGTACTTAGATATGGTTAAGCAAGGTAGACCCACCTCGGGTTGAACATCATATTTTGGCAGCCAGTGGAAAAAAGTTGGTAGGGCAAAAATCAATAAGCCACAATACGACCACTAAAGGTTTCTTGATCATGCGGTGATTGTAGAACTCTTACTACACACGGCCCAAGGATTAATGGCCCGGTTATCCCGCGTATCCCCCACAGCGGAACGGATGCACCTCTTTAGCATGCACTTTTCTAAATATATGCCTACTTTCTCAAGTTCAAGCGGAAGGAAAAAAATATAATTATATGTCTGGTGTCATTGTATGATCGATTGTGACATTTAATAAATGAAAATGAAACATAGAATCAGTTATTTGATATTCAACGTAAGATATTTTGGCTAAGCGATATACTACAACTACTCCATCAAATGTGTATTAAATGTTTGACCAAAAAGGTGGAATAGTGCTTCAAATGTGAATGCTTAAATGTTCGATCCTTGGATTTTTTCTTAATTTTCTATCTCACTGAAGCTTAACTTTACAGGTACATATGTTTAAATAGAAGCGTTCTTTCAAATTTTTACCATACTAAACCTACTGTAAAAAAACAGCAGAAATTTTCAATAACCAGGAGCATTCAGACAACTATTGCAGGGTTTTGTTAAGATACACCTAGTGCAAATTGGGAAATAAAATGCCTCGTGCCGGAATAGTGCATCGCAGTCTGAACGTTCAAGACCTACGCAACAACTCTACCATCGGAGATATATAGCCTGTTGCAACACAAAATTTCTATCCGTATCCAAAGTACTTCTTTTCCAAAGACAGTCTAAATTTTCTGTTCTTTATCCCGACAATGCTTTACAAAACGCACCCAATGATTCAATATATTATATACGGTCATAAAGATAAACTCGACACATCAATTAAACAACCATCAGTCAATTTATCTTATTCGTGTTGTATAAAAGTTATGCTTTCAACATACCAATCCTGCTGCTTTAAAATCCACACCAAACTGGTTTCTACTTCCACCTCCAAGTGGATTGTTGTGGCCTACACCATGCCACAAGTAGTTAGCTTTACATGGATGTGGTACTTCATTTCCATTCGGAAGGATATCTTTAAAGTTAGGATAGGCAGCTGCAATGCCGACACACACAAGAGTTTTGAGTAATAGTCTAATCATTCCACTAAAATAAATGAGTTAAAACAGAAATAAGAATGATTTTTCATATATAAGACTGCTGCATCTTATAAAAATAATCCCGATATCAAAACGAATATGCATGTGTTATTGAAAGGGCAGCACCCAATGACTGTCTCTTCATCTTTCGTCATTATGGTAATCCGAATGATTTTGATAAGCTTCCTATTCTAATGCTAATAATACTGATGAAATAGTTTCATTTAGTTTCATATGTACAGTGAAAGAAGTATATAGTCAACTACTCCCCGCGAAGAGAGAGTGCCACGCTCTCTGCACGTTAAGAACCCTTGCAACAACTCTTTGAGGGGTCCATAGGTTGTCATTTGCAAAACAAAGTGTATGTCCCTATCCAATATACCATCAATTTCCAGTGGAAGTCCAAATTTCGACGGCCTTTTCCCTGGACGGCCTCTTTTATATGACCTACTTATTATATTTATTGTTAATTTGTTCTCGTCCTGAACATGCACGAAATATTTGCCACTGGACGTTTAGCTACCACCAATCAATCAATAAATGCGTTTGCTGAACATTCAGCCATAAATATTCGGGTAAAACACAATAAAAGAAACAGTAAGGTTGCACTTTGGGTCCAAAAAAAAAGTTCAACACAATTGGAAAAAAAATGTGATCCTGAAAAGGTAACTCATTTGGTTAGTGGAAAAAACAACCAGATGTGTTTTATATTATAATTTGTGTCTGGTAAGGTACTTGCTAGTTACGGACACTAATTGTAAAATTAACCTCTGCAATTTTATGTCTTTACGTATAACTTAATATTTATAATAGTTATATATATATATATTTCACAAGTGGTATGCACAGTTATAATTCAAATACAATTAACTAACAAAGTTCAAACAACAAAAAAATCACAGGAAAAAACATATATCTTTGTATTCTGCAAAAATGTACCACCGTTCTTGATTATTGAAAAATATGATCATTGAAAGATCAGCACAAAACCTTCAATGAATGACTTTATACGCGAAGCATATCAAAATAATCAAGAGTTGACCTATTATTCATTAGAAACTATCCACACTGATCTGTGTCTACACTTGTATTCATTGGAAAAAAATCACAGATGTATATTCAATTCTTACGTAAATGGTAATTAAAAGTTAGTAAGTTATTTAATTTACGGACACTACAAAGATCTAATGTTTTATAATATTCTCAAAATGAACAATTGTCCTTAAGTAACACATGAAATTCATGTATTTTCTATTAATATTTACATTTTTAATAACAGAATGCTGCTGAATTGTAATGAAATATATGTAATTAAAGGTAAATCCAATGTTAACAAACATGTTGACATGGATGGTATTCCAAATCTATTCAAGATAGAATCATAAAATTTTCAATGAAGTTAAGTATTAAAAACAGAGCACTGATCTCCTTTTTTGTGTAAATTAACTGTAGAGCTAACATAGCAAAGACCAATTGTAAATGTTACACTCTTTTACATTCAAAATCAGAACGATATCATGTTCAAGGGCGTAATTTAGTTTCTCGAAGATTTAGTCCGTTGATCTACATTTGTATAGAGTAACAAATTACAAAGAAAGTCCTTTGATAGGAGAAGTATGGGTCTGTTTATCTCGATTTATCGACGAAATGTTTTGAAGATTAATTATAAAATCTTATGGTATTAATATTAACATGTGTGCAATCCATTTGATTATGAAAATAAAAAGTAAGTAAGTAAGTAAGTAAGAGTAGGTAAGTAAGTAAGTATTTAGTAAGTAAGTAAGTAAGTAAGTAAGTAAGTAAGTAAGTAAGTAAGTAAGTAAGAGTAGGTAATTAAGTTAGACTAAGTAGGTAAGTAAGTAAGGAAGTAAGGGTAAATTAGTTAGTAAGTATCATGAAATAGATCATATCGAATATCGTCATAAAGCGTGCATTCCTTTAGAAAATATTTCAGTTTCTACACTATGTACAATGATAATGACATGATGTTTGAAAGATATGATAATTAATTGAAACTATCACCCAATTATGCGTAGTTTGCAAAGATTTGCGTATTTCTGATAAAGAATTGTCCGTTGATATGAAGAGTCAATCTTTTTTTTAAACTCAGTCTGTTGACTGGTCCGTTGAACGTACTTAGGATGGGACGTTTACCTTTCTTGGACTGTCAACTGTTGAATATGAAGATGGATTAAAGATATGTCTTTAAAAGCATCCTTATTCAATTTATATATAAATAAATATCTTATTTAGGTCTGTGCTATTATACCATTTTGTTCATGTATATATAGAATACCATTAAATGCCGTATGTTGGGTAAATATAGTTCGTGGATCAACTAGAGCCGGTAAAAAAAACATAGATTCCATCAATTTAACATTTTCAATGGGTTTAATTTTAAAAAGTTTTGAGAGTTTGTTTAAAACGTTCAAGTTTGACACGCAATTTGGCAATTTTAATAGAATGTACCAAATTTTTCACCTCAGCACACAATACATTATGTTAAAGTGGTCAATAACTTGTTTATTTTCATTTTATACAATAATTACTGTCTATTGAAGCAGCAAAATTCGTGGTTTTATTGACTTGAAAAAAACTGTTATTCACCGAGGCAACCGGCACTGCTCTCTGTGTGTAGAAACTGAATCAAAATTACAGTTTAGATCCCACGGTGATTTTTTAACGAAAATGTGCATACAACCTATTCTTTACGTCGTGATTTCAAATATGTTATTAAAAACCTTCATTTGCTACTTTTAGAGATGAAACTGGTCGAAATTTTACACATTTACCCAAAATCGGGGTTTCTTAATAATTTCTATCCTTCAGAAGGACATACCTAAGTTTTTTTGTTTCAAAAGATAAAAACAAACGGATTTTGTAAAACCATTTATAATATCTTTTTTACATAAGTATGCTATAAACTTATCTAACTTTAGAAATAATTCATTTTTATTAAATTTTCATGATTTAAGAAAAACCGTCATTTTTTTTTTTTTTTTTTTTTTTGCTGTTTATTTATCGTATTTGAAAATACATTATCGGTGATTTGTTCATAAAAATTGATACAAATAATCTTCTCTCATATTAAAGATAAATGTCATTTAAAACAAAAGGGTTAAAGTACTCGTTTTCTAGCTAATGATTAAAATCAGTCGAAATAGGATATTTTCCCGAGTCACAGTCGTATATATATAGTGTCTTTGCAACAGTCTTTCAACAATTCGTTTAGGAGTCCGAAGGTTGCCTGGTGAAAGGCAATATTTCTGCCACCATCAAATGTATCCAGAGCTTCCAGTGACTGTCAAAATGATAAGTACTTGTCTACAGATCAGAAACATAGTCTGTTTTCGTGTTTGTGCAGGGAACATAATATTTTAGAAATGTACGTAGACAATTACTGGCTGAATAAATAGTGCTTCTGGAGACAAGATTAACCGGAACATCAGTTCCAGTTTAGACATGCATTTTTTATAGTTTATACAATATGGAACAATACCAGTGCAGTGTGGATAACTGTAAGTTACTTGTTTTTACAGGAACAGCCTCAAAATTAAATTTACGAAATAAAAACAAGGTTTTAAAAATTTCGCGCGTGGGAAAAGAAGTGAGGTTGAATGAATATTTGTGTTCCAAAACTGTCGAAGATTTAAAATGGTGTCATTTGTAAGACATTATAGTTATATTTTCTTGACTAGCAACGAATACAGCATGCATCGTACATACTGACAGATTTAACTTTGTTTATTCTAACAATTTTATATTTATGAATTAATTAATATTTACACTATATCAATAGCAAATATTTATTTATTGATTTCAAGTGGTTGTTCAAACTTTAGTGTAGGACAAAATCGAACTCTATTCATAACTATTTATCTGCAACTTCGTACCTCGAATTTAACCTTTCGGAGTCTGGGGTTCTCATTGCTCTTCAACTTCGTACTTTATTTAGCCATTTTAACTTTTTAATTCGAGCTGGCGTCATTGGCGTCTTTTGTAGACGAAACGCGCGTCTGGCGTACAAAGTTTTAAGTCTGATATCTATGATGAGTTTATTCAAAACTTTTGTTCGTTTATTTTTCAACCCAACTTCATAGTGTAACTAGTATACATTACCTTAAACACGAACTATTATATAGTTCAACTTCAACTTCATCTCCAACTAGCGCAAAAGCTCTAAATTTCATACGTCCTCAGAATTTTTTTTTTTTTATTATTGGGGGAATTTTGACTCTTAGCAAAGTAATTAAATTTCCAAAACTGAAAATTGTTTTTAAATGTTAAATATTACTTTTTGAATTTTATTTTCAAAACTGTTATGTATCGTTGATCCTGACAAGGACTCCATGATGTTGTGTGTTTAAAGAGAATTTAAAACAGTTTTAAAAAATGTGTCTTAATTTGACTTAAAATGGTAGGCTTGAATGCCCGTACTTAATTCTTACACAAAAATGCAACAATATGAATACCTTGGTGTTATTGTCTCTAGAAGTGTATCTTTTTATGCCAATAGAAAAATATCTTCGAGATCAAGCTACTAAAGCCATGTATTGTGTTATAAAGAAGTGTAGATCTAACTATTTATTTATAGATTGCTAGCTCGATGTGTTTGATAGATATAAAAATAAGGAGATGTGGCATGATTGCCAATGAGATAGCTATCCACCACAGTTCGAATGAAGTGGATGTAAGCGATTATTATTACCCTCTCCTAACCTAGGACATTGGTATAACAGCACACCATAAGAACAAACTATAAAAAATCAGTTGAAGAAGGCTTAACTCATCAGATCGATGCAACGCAGAAAAACATCAAACAAAAACACAAACCGGACGGGGCAGGGTATATACCCATCCCTCATCTCTAACAACAAAAAAGACAAAAAAGACACTAAGTACAGATCTGAGAGTACTCGCAGTTACTGACAGATAGTTCAAAGCCAATAACAACTAATACAAAAACCATGTATCTAAGACTAAAATATCAATCAGTACACATCCAAC